CGGGGCAGCGCGGTCGGGTCACATCGCTCAACGGGTGTTGTGAGAAGTTTCCGGCGCGAGGCACGTGACAAACGCCTCCCTGGTCAGAACCGTTTAATAATATGTCTTGTTTAAAGAAAAAAGAAAAAAAAAAAAAAAATCCAGGCCGGGCTCGGTGGCTCAGCCTGTCATCCCGGCACTTTGGGAGGCCGAGGCGAGTGGCTTTCCTGAGCCCGCGGGTTCGAGTCCAGCCCGGGGAACGTGGCGAGACCGCGTCTCACCGATAAGCCAAAAAGTGGCCGGACACAATAGCGCGCGCCTGTAGTTCTGTCTGCTTGGACGACAGGCGGAAGGATCGCCGGAGCCCAGCAGGTCGGCCCTGGGGTGCCCGTGAATGTGCCCCTGCCCTCCAGCCCGGGCGACAGTGAGACTCCAACTCAATTAAAAAAAAAAAAAAAAAATCCAAAGCTGCGCATATATTATCCAGTTGCCTTTTGTTGCCAGTTTTGCAGTGCTCGTTGATTCCTTATCGCTTCTCTCAAGTCGTATGTTTACAGGCAGCCTTTTTGTAAGGGTGTCTTGTGTATGATGTGTAATTTTGAAATAAGTATTTAAATGGGCACTTGGCCGGGCATTGTGGCTCACGCCTGTAATCCTGGCACTTTGAGACGCCGAGGCGAGAGGATTGCCCGAGCCCAGGGGTTCGAGGCCAGCCTGGGCAACTCGGTAAGCGCTGGTACCTACAGTGTAGTTCCAGCCACTTGGGAGGCTGGGGCGGGAGGATTGCCTGAGCCCGGCCGGTCGAGGCTGCGGTGGCCGTGAGCGTGCCACTGCACTCCAGCCTGGGAGACAGAGTGAGACCCTGACGCACAAAAAAGAGAGACAAAGCAGCTTCATTCTCCAGGGACCCTGCCTCCCCCCGCCCCCACACTTTCCTCCTAGACTACCTCCATAATGACTCACAGCCTAGGGGTAGTACCTGATGGTCAAGGGACTTGCTTTATGGATAGCTTCTATTGTAAAAGCTAAGAATGGTATTTGAGATATTTTTCAGACCCCGAGGCCCAGAACACCAGAAAGTTGGTCTGTGATCCCCCTCCCAGAAAGTGGCTCTCGCCACAGCACCATCAACCAATCAGCAGCCCCAGCCGGCCGAGTGCCCTTTAAAAACCCTATCCTCTGAATTTTTGAGGAGGTGGATTTGAGTCATCTCTCTCGCTCTCCTCACTCAGCTGCTTTGGCAATATTAAGCTCTTTCTCCATTGAAAGGGCTGTCTCAGTTTTGTTTTTTCTTGGGCAGCAGGCATAGGAGCCCAGTCAGGCTGTAATAGCACACCAATCAATCAAGAAAAGCAAAAAAGGACAAAGGTGTGTTGCTTGGAAATAAATAGCAGGTAATATGCAGTCCACATAAAACTGCTATGAGTACAAAACCTACTGCTGCTGGAAAGGAAGTTTAGAACATGGATTTCTGACTGACTTAGCGTCCTGTTTTGTCTAAGGGTCTGTGGTTTTAGGAAGTACGTTGTCGCTGCTCACACCACGTGTTTTTGTGGGCCTTAAACCCTCTCAGTTTCCTCTTTGTTATCAGCCTTTCTTGGGTTATATCTGTGCTCCAAAATGCAAACTGATCCACAACCCATAGGTTTTCCTTGAATTTGGATGTCCTCTCCCTTTTACATCAGGAAACACATTTTAAAAGGTCAAAAGGGCCCCAGGCTTAAGACAGTCAGTCCCCTTTTCCCAGACCTAGGATAAGAGAGGTAAAGTATGGTGGTCTATACAGGCTAGAAACAGGTACTAGGAACTCTACCCTCTTTGTGTTCCAGCATAACAAATACAAGGGTGGGCCCCTGGTAGTACAGGCTTACCCCACTAGGTAAGTGTTCTGGGAACTCATCAGCATCGATGTACCAGCTAGCTTTGTTGTAAGGCTGTGTTCAGCTCAGTGAATTGTTTTTGGAGATTCTTTCAACCCGTTTGCCCACTTCATGATGGCAGATTTACAAGCACATCCGCCCATACCGCACTTTAGTTTTCAGCGGTTTTTGACCAGACATGGCATGACTCCCGTGTCCCACCCTCCCTGTTCACCCCATCTCTCTGTTCCCAGCAACTTTTTTGTTCCTCTAGATGGAAAAAGTCCCCAAAGGGAAACTTTTTGCTGATGTGGAAGAGGTGAAACAGAAAATAGCAGAAGCACTAAAAGGCATCCACGTTGACGAGTTCAAAACTGCTTTGAGCAGTGGAAAAAGCATCTTGATAGGTGTTTTTGCATTACATGAAGAGTACTTTGAAGGTGACAGAAGTTCAAACTTGTAAGACTAAATACACAACTTTCTATAAATAAATTCCGAAGCTGGGCTCGATGGCTCAGCCTGTAATCCCGTGCTTTGGGAGGCTGAGGTGAGTGGATTGCCTGAGCCCGTGGGTTCGAGACCTGCCTGGGCAACTTGGCAAGACCTCATCTCTACAATTAATCAAAAAAACAAAAAATAAAAATAAAAAAATAAATTCCGGTTTAGGGAATTTCCCCCTCAGACTAGTTCCCAAAACGTGTCTTTGCAGTTTCTTTTTCTTTTTTTTCGAGTTGTAGTTTCACTCTGTCACCCAGGCTGGAGTGCAGTGTCATGCTCCTGGCCACCACAGCTCGACTTGCTGGGCTCAGGCGATCTTCCTGTCTCAGCCTTTTTTTTTTTTTTTTTTTTTGAGTTGGAGTCTCACTCCGTTGCCCAGTCTGCAGTGCAGTGGCTGCTCCCAGGCACTGCAGGGTCGACCTGCTGGGCTCCGGCGATCCTTCAGCCTCAGCCTTCCAAGTAGCTGGAACTACAGTTGTGCGCTACCACGCTTGGCTAATTTTTTGATTTATTGTGGAGATGAGGCCTCAACAAGTTGCCCAGGTGGGTCTTGAACCCACGGACTCAGGCAGTTCACTCACCTTGGCCTCCCAAGGCACGGGATTACAGGCTGAGCCACCGAGCTGGCTGTCTCAGCCTTCTAAGTAGGTGGAACTACAGGCACGTGCCACCACACCCAGCTAACTTTGCAGTTTCATGTTACGTCTTGCTAATTCATTTCCTTCTTCTTCCTGCTCTTGGCTTTTGTCCTGGCAAGACAAGTTAGTCTTCAAGTTTTAACTCAAAGTCATTTCTTCTGTGAAACCTGCCCTGGTTACCTGCAGGCAAACGAAGATGATTCTCAAGTCGCCCGTGTTGCTTCTGTGTATTATGCTTGCATATTGATGCTGTATCAGCAGTGCTGCTTTCCAACACAGTCTTTGGCCTTCTTTGAATGTTGTGAGCTTCTCCAAGGCCAGGATTGTGTCTTCACCCTTTTCATGAGCCTGCCTTAACTAGCACAGTGTTGAGCATGTAATCAATATTTGTTAAATGAGCGAAACAGCTCTTTTTCGTTGTTCTAGAGTTCAGGACTCATGGTTGGTTACAGGCTTGTTGAGAAAGTCCAACAGGCTAATAGAAACAGGCCTTGCAGCTGTTGAGCTCTTGGGTCCAGCACAACTTCATGGTCTTTATTTTTTCATGACCAGCTCTGGGCCTCAGCTGGTTTTCCTTGATCCAAAACTGCCACCACTAGCTCAAACCTTCAGGGCCTTCTTCCATGACGGTGGCTGCCAGCTGCCACTCAGTCTCTTTAATCCCCCTTCCCTACTGCCCCAGAAGAAAAACAGGCAGGCCTTTCCCCTCACTCCTGGATTGGTTGAGGGAGGGGGTCAGGGGGAGAAGAGGAGCCACAGGTGTCATTATCTTTTCTTTCAGTAATTCTATTATGGAAAATTTCCAAAGGCAGAGCATGTCTGCCCACTCTTCTCCAATTGATTACTTTGAAGGTGTGAAATTAAATAATTCAAACTTAAAGCTGTTGCGTCTTTCAGTTATTCTGAGCCTCGAGAGGAATGTGGCTATGTGACCTGAGTCACGTGGTATGCAGTTGCACCTTCTGCCTTTTTCTCTGTAAATGTTTAGGGAGACTAAGTGGTGCCAGAGATAAGACTCCCTCGGATTTTTACCCACCTCATAGAATCTTAAAGTAATCTTCTTTGGAATGTAGCAGTCTTTAACCAATCAATTGCCATCACACCATAATGTATACACTAAGCTTGTGTGGAAAATAATTGTTATCCTGCTCAAACTCCTCTGTCTCTGCCTATCTAAACAAAACCTTAACATCTCCACTTTGGAGCCCTGACCCCATTTGTTTAGAGTGTGTGTTTCCTGGGTGGCCATCCTTTAGTTTTTCACTCAAATAAATTCTATACTCAATCATATGTTCTGAATCTCAATGTTTAAAGTTGACAAAGGAAATCACAGATA